AGCGTTCACCAGCGACCGGAGTAGAGAGTATGGGAAGTAGGAGGGTAGCAAACAGCTGGATTAGGCGTCGTGAAATTGCGGCGTGTGCAACTGCACCATGCAATTACACTACACCGTAAATTAAAATGGTTGCAACGCCGCAATTTCACGGCGAATAATCCAGCTGTATGCTACCCTCCTACTTCCCCATACTCTCTACTCCCGGTCGCTGGTGAACGCTGGCAGACGCTGGCAGACGCTAGATCGATACCTATACTTCTCTAACCCTCTAGACGCTGGCATACGCTGGTGGACGATGGTATGACGCTGGCAGACGCTGGTATGCCAAAGTATGAACGCGGCCTAAGAGACGTTCCAATCACTTTGTCCTCTGCATGCTAGATGACTTCCTGGAAAGCTCGACTAAGCCCTCAGGCTTTCAATTAGGGGAGGTGGTGCTATCATATCAGAAGAGCTGACCCTGCTAATTATGCGGGATATACACTAGAAAGAAGAAAAAAGGGTATACTGAAGCTGTTCAACGTCAGTCCTACTCCTTACGTCAATATGTTCATGCGGTCTCTTCAAACCTTGAAATTAGACGAATATAGACGGTGACAGAAAAGTGAACAAAATGGGCCAGGCACGGTCAAGCCAGAGCGCTTCAGCTCAAGAGGACTTAATTTGTATTACTGTGCAGGCTTTCTGTTTGCTGACCGTGGATTCGATGTGTGGCTGGGTAATATGAGAGGGAACATCTATTCACGACGTCATGTCACACTGGACAGCGATTACAAAGAATTCTGGAAGTTCAGGTGAGTCTTCAACCGTTTCAACCAATAGTGATTCAGAAAGAACACATGCATAGGCAAAAAACTCTTTGGAGAGGCTCATTTCATTCCTCTTGGCTGCGTCCCGGCTGATTGCGACGAAATCAGTTGAGGGCTCTTCACCACGTGCTCGTAGAAATGTTCTTTTCAGTTGGGAAGAAATGGCTGATTATGACTTACATAATGTACTTAATGCTTACCGAACAAAACGTCACTCTATTACGTTGGCCACTCACAAGGAACATTGACGATGCTCACGAAACTGAGCAAGGACAAGGATTTCTCCAGAAAGGTTGGTTTCACTGGAGGGAAAAGGGTGCTTCGCGGATTGGAGGGGGCATTTTGCACTTTCGCTAGTGCTAGGGCATGTTAACTAGCAGGTCACTTGTAAGCACTTGGGGAGCAAGTGGTCAACTTTAGTCACAGGATTTAAGTGGTTTCCACAAATGAGCTCGTATAAACCTCGCTGAGTACCACCTGGTACCCCCACAAAGCCGAACTTTGCCTGAAAAGTGCACAAAATAATGTAAAGCGCTTCGCGGTGAGCTTTTGCCTGGAGTTCGTTGGGGCAAGGTCCATCCAAGGGTCATCTGGTGAGCATTCTGAAATTGGAGGTGTGGAAAAATTAAGCCCTTTGACCCGTGGCATGTTCCAGGAAGATGACTCTGCTTACTGTAGCGCCTTTTGTAATCACTTCGGTCCAGGTGTATCACCTAGGCAACACCACCTGCAAATTCGCATCGCCGCAATATGGATCTCCTGACCCACACCGGGATTTCCACAGCTTTTATGTTCACCCTATACTTTTCTTTTGCATTACTTGCCGTGCTCACCTTGACTGTAATAAAATTCCTTTTTTGAGGGGAGACCTCCCTTTAATTTGTGTTTGCCCATGTTTTTATTTCCCCAATTTTTCATATCTCTTAGAATTTCCAAGAAGGATGTTCTGTCGGGAAATGGATGATTTTCACTTTTCTTCAGATTCGCAAATTCTTCTCGCTGGCTCCAGTGTCACGAATGTCCCACGTCAAAGGATTGTTTTACTATCTTGGTCAAATCTATGAGCAATTCAAAGTGAGTGCGCTACGGTAGTCCCTTACAATGACCGTATACGTTTCGGTTTGCAGTAATTTTAGCTCGTTTATCGATTATTCGGCGATAATGAATTTTTGTCAAACAACATATTCACACAACTACTGACGGATATCATTTGCGACAAATCGGTGAATAATCCGCTATGCGAAAATTTCATTTTCTCCGTGAGCGGACCAAACAGCAATCAGTTCAACTCGGTGAGTCAGGTTTAGTTGAGCTTTGCTTTCCATCGCACTTTTCTGCGGCACCCCACATCTTCCTCAACTCGGTCCCATCTTATGCATACAAACATTACGATTATACCAATAGGAATAACATGTGATTTTCAGTCCAGAATTGGCATTTATTTGGCCCATAATCCAGCTGGGACGTCGTCTCGAAACATGTTACACTTTGCGCAGATGGTACGCACAAAAAGTATGGCACCGTTCGATCTAGGGCCAGAAGGAAATACCAGGAAGTACGGTCAGGTGAGAAAAACGTAATTTCATCTTGATTAATATGTTTCGTGAATCGAGTTTGACTTTCCATATATCATTAGGTGGTCCTGAAGATTCTTCTTCTTTTTTTGTTTTCATCCTTCTACCGTGGGGTTTAGAAGCGAAAGGGTAGAACGAACTGACCATACAGACGTTATCGCAGAAGTCAGTCGGGGCGTGTCATCGGCGTATGCGCTTTAGCGCAGCGTTAATAAGGT